GATTAATTGAACAGATATCAAATTATTAGTATTGAATGCGATCTAGAGTTGAGCTGAGCTAAATACTTCCAAAAATTATCATCGAACCAAACTTGAGAAGTCGAACACGCATTCAAGTAATATCTGTGCCATTCAGGTATTGACATATCATTAGGGTTGATCAACCCACTTAAGTTGTGTTCCATAACTTTTAAAGGTAGTACTATACTTACGTTTATTTGAATTCCTCAATTAACCCCAATACATTTACTTAGTCTAGGCCATAAGGGCATTTTGGTCATTTTGGTGCTCAATGTTTTTCCATTCATTTCAAAGCTTGAAGATGTTCATTCATTCCTGGGCTTGGTGATATTCTTGAGCCATTTCTATTACAGGGGTATTTTGGTCATTTTACCAATCCAGTGTATTTCAATCTTTTCCTTCAATCTGATCTTATTATTTAATTCAAACTTATCACCTTTTTTAGTCCTTTCAACAATTCTGACAAAAGAGCACCCTCGATAATTTATTCTTAACTCGGAGATTTTCAGGTCAATTGTCTTCTCATAAGTTACCAACAGGTTATCAGGATTTTTTTGTAAAAAGACATGATCTTAACAATTAAATCCGTAATTTATTGAGTTAAGTACGAATCCTCAAAGTACTTTCTCATTCAGGGTCAACTCGGACTATTTTTACCTCTCAAGGGCATTTTCGTAATTTCTTAACCATATAACTTCGGTATTAACTCTTAACGAAAATAATTATAATTTAGAGATTCTATGGTTAATTGTTTTTCCCGAACATTCTCTGATCTTGAAATGATTCCCTTAACAGACTTCTAACATCTTGCATAAACTCTCATGGTGTTAAAAGCCAGTTATCTAAATCTTCTAAGCAAAACTAGCATTTCTTATGTACATCTGTAATTTTTCCTGATCAATATGTCTTTTCTGAGTTATTAACCAACTTCCAGGGACAATTCTTGTCATCTTACAACATAAGGGTATTTTCATAATTTTACCCTACCGGAGTATTCTCATAATTTCCCATCCAAGTACCTTTGATGAAATAAATTATATGTTACAGATCCAAGTTGATTCCTTTATCACTAAACACAAAACTTGTAATTTTAATTCTAACAATCCCTCAATTTCTTATAAAAGTCATCTGAACCATAATCAGTTACCGAATTTTTATCGTATTCGGATCGAGTGTAGAAATTAATTAACTACACATATGAGACCAATATTATCTTATTCATGCATTTACCAATATCAACATATTCCAATAAGAATAAAGAGGTATTAAAGTATTACCTCGATTTTCATGCCATACTGATCGACCAAATAAATTCCATTCGAATGTCCTCGATCTTTAATTCAACTTCCAATAATTCCTCAAATACATAACAATAAAAATTTCATAAAAAACGGGGTTTAATTCCGAAAAACGGATCGAATCGGATGATAAATCAGTGAAAAACAAATTATCGGGTTCGAATTTGGCGAAACGGATCCCAAAAACAAACTTAAGACGTCAAAAAAACCTCAAAATAGGTGTACCCGAAAAATGTTAACGGTCGTTCAATGGTCAGTCAACGCCGGTCAAAGTTCTGGTCAACAGTGGTCAATGCGGTCAACAGTCAACGCTGGTCAACGAGTCAGGTCGATCAATTGGGTCAGGTCGTGTCGGACCGGTCAAACCGTTTTTCATTTTTTCTTTCTTTTTTTCCTGCTGCCAGACGAAGTCCACTCTCAGGGGGTGGCGGGTGGGGTGCGTGAACAGCGTTACGGTGTTCGAAAAATTCCCGAAAAATTTCTAAAAATTATTTTAAGGCATTTTGAGCACTTACCAAGTTCGGTTCAAAATTTTGAACGATAGAGAACTTGATTCCAAAACATCGAAAACATTGACTTCCTCACCCCTCCACGCGCCGATGACGACGGAGACACGGAGGACGCCGGTGGACTCGGAATGATGCAAGGAACACGATGGTGCGGGAGGTGTCGAAAACGAGTGGTCGGATCGACGTGAATCGACGAAAAACCAACAGAGATTGAGTTAAAATCGACGATAATTCCGGTTGAAATTTACGACAAACGACGCCGATTCACGACGAAAGGTTTGAGGGGGTTTTTTCTTCGGTCGATAAAAAACACGATGGTGGTTTCGGTTTGTCAAACGATGGTCGGACGGTGAGTAGATCGGAGTAGAAAAGACGGTCAATGAGGGAGGGAAATGGGGAATAATTCTGCAGAAACATACGGAAAATAGGGGTTTATAATTATCTCCAAAATAAAAATGGTTAAACTATGAGTTTAGTCACTACATTTCCTGCACTTCCTAAAATGGTATGCCAACTTTGAAATTTTACAATTTAATCCTCAATTTCTCCCAAAATACCAATTAAAATCAATACTTTATAATTTCTTAATTTTTAGCCCCTAAATTGGGGTGTGACAGTATCATAAAAAACTCTGACATGTTAGATCAAAGTTTCGTCTTGACTAATCCGGACCAACCCGAGTCGCACTCCTGATTTTAGTGGGTGAGCCTCTTAACAAGAATTTTTTGCATATACAAATATTCGAACACGAAATATACTTAAACGATAGCAATCTGCATATACCCACCCGTTGATAGATTATTATTATTTTCGTGCAGAGAAAGCCAATCAATTTTCATATTAGCCAAGTTTCAGCCAGCCTTTTCATTTTTAGTTTTTAAACATTTCCATTTCATTGAATACACCGCGCTCTTCAAGTTTTTGAAAATTATTAATTTCATCTCTTAATTTAAAAAAATCATTTTATTTTATAATTTTTTAACATTTTAAATTAAGTCTCCTTCCAAAGTTTTTAACATTTTCTTATTAAATGTAAAAAAACTAAAAATTTAGTTAAACCCCTAAATTCTTTAAAGATACAAAATAATTTAATTCAAATCTCTAAATTATTTTTAAAAATTTAATAAATCTTCTTAAATGATTTTTCAAAATCCATCACTATTTTATCATTTTCTCACTGCAATGAAATATAAACATGACAGTACAAAAGCGAACATAAACCGAATAGATATAGTTTTAGGTACTATCTTCCACAGATTTGAAAAGTTTTAAGAAGTATATGATACTTGTGTTCAAAATGATATGTAATTTAGATATAGTGTTAGGTCCGATCCTTCATAAATATAAAAAATAGAAAAAAATTGCAAAGATATATTCGTCTTAGATATATATACTTGCATTCAAAAGTAACATAACCGTAGGTATTCAGAAGCTTGGGTACTTGCACTATTTCTGGCCTCTATGCAAAATATATTCATAAATGAGGTAATGTACGAATTGATATCTACACATAGGCTTATCCACCATAATTCATCTTAAAATCTGATTTTTTTAATTATTTACTCATTTTATTAACTGTGTTCACTTTAGAATTTTATTTATATCTACTTTATAAAAAATTATATTAATAAGGCAAAAGTGTCACTTATGTCCTTGTTGTAGACCCAATTTATTATGTTTACCCAATCATATTTTCGTATTAATTTAACTCTCAAAGTTGTTTAATTGCATCATTCTATATCCTACCTCTAACTTAAAACTCTAAATTGATAACCCTAAACCCTAAAACAATACCATAATATCTAAACCTTAAACCCTAAATCTTAATCTCTAACTTAAAACCCTCAATTTAGGATTTTAAGTGATGAATAGGGTATATAACGATGCAATTGAGCAACTTCGCTAGCTAAATTGATGTGAAATACGATAGGGGCGAAAATGATAAATTAGATCAACTACATGTACAAAAATAACTCTTTTGCCTATTAATAATGCACATGCGCCCACCCTCAAAAATAGTTCTTCGTTTCTTTTATTTTAATAATAGTACTCATGCATGCACGTGAAAATGTAATTAATAGTGTGTTTGATTCACACAAAAAAAATTGTTGGAGGTAAGTAAACTATAATATTGGTCACTTTCGTTTAATATTTGTTCATTAAATCCAGAAAATTATTTTTGGTCGCTTACGATATCGTTTTATTAAGATTTGATCATTGAGACATTAACAACTGTTAGTTTGATGACATGTCACGTTAGTAAAAAGCTTTAATTTTTATTTTAATCGTTAAACTTTAGATAAAATATGTCTTTTTGTAAACCCAAAATAATTTAAGGATAAAATATCAATTTATCCATTTTTTAAATATATTTTCTTCCCCAACCCCATCTTCAACTTGCGCCACAGACCTTCATTTTTGTTTATCTTCTCCGTCGATGGTCACCTGACGGACATTGAACAATAAGCTCCGGCAAACTGATCTCAAACGGATATGGAGTAATATGTGATAATGTTACATTTCAAAAATCTTATTTCCAGGAGTAATGTTATATTCTATGAACCAAACAACCCCTAAATAATTAGAAACTTTCTGAAAGAATTAAAAAAAAACGTATACTTAAGCAACCAAGATTTTGCCAACCATAACAACAATGATCAATAATCTGTAAAACATCCGGTGAATCTAGAGTCAAAAGTGAAACATAAATTGCTAGAACTGAATTTAGATGGCAATTTGATGTTTTATCATACTTTCTATAATCCACGTATGAGGCAATTCGTTGAAATCACACTCCAAAACCCTTTGACATGTCCTATAACAAGCACAAACAGAAATATGGATCATCAATGCATAAAGGGTACAGAAGTAATGACCAAGGTCAGATATAGTGTCAAAAGTGCATATATTTGCTAATGCATGAGTTATGCCTTCAGCACATACATATATATCCAACCGTTAGATCAAAACTTTAAAGTTGTAAGACCCCAAAAGGGTGAAAAATTTTCATTTTCACGAATTACCAGATAATCTCAGAGTTTCTGCGGTTTCGTAGCATGAGTGCATACAGAAATATTTTCCAGCGAGCATTCAAAGAGCCTTTCCTACAAAATCATCGGTATTTTCCGGACCAAACAATATTGCACCTTCTTGTAATATAACAGAAATCAAATCACTAAAACATCATTAAGTTTGTTGTCATTCCAACAACAAATGGTTCCATTAACAGTCGAGTCAAGAAGTAAAAAATGACACCCAATGTAACGGATATTGGGAGGGCAGGCAATGCTCGGTGGCACACGGATAACAATATAAGAGTGCACCCAAGTCCAGAGATAATGGCCAGGTAACATGCATATACAGTCATTAGATCATACATGGCTGCCCTGCCTACCAGAACACTATAAAACACAAAGTCTCCAAGACCAAGCTTGATGCCTCTATTTGCTACTACTGAATCCCTCCATTGATGATCTCTCTCGTTGTCCATCCCCAACATGTCAACAAGAGGAGACCTTTCCTCATCCACAACAATCTCAGATTCTCTATTGCGAACAATAGTAGAATATTCTGATGAGTTACTCTCTGACGAATACCTTTCTCTTGAATGACCAACCAAAGGTGACCTCTCACCTTCATCTCTATTTCTTTCTCTGACCACATTCTCCAAGTTGCTAACCGGGATAGCAGCATACTCAGGACTCGTATGGTTTTCACTCACATCTCTGTACATATTATTATTTGATACTGCTTGCAATTCAACCGACCCAGAATCTGAAACTCCAGCAACAAGAAACCCCAAAGTTGACCGAGGGTTTCCCTCATTGCGAGAAACAGTTGGCCGAGCTTCATATACCAAAGCTGGCAATTCCTCATCTCGGGTTGAGGCCAACTCCACCAACAACTTAAGGGGACCACCAGGAGCCAAAACTGCCACCAAATCATACAAAGCCAATGCAACCAGCAAAACCCATGTAGTCCACTCCGGCAATTTGGTAAACCATGTTGCCACAATTATCCCCAGTGATACCATATATCCCTGTCTTAAAATAATTGGCACCCCACCAGAAAACATGGATAACACCCCAACAATGGTATAATTGAAAAGCAGCAGAAAGCACGTAATGGAATCAATTGGTATTGAAAAATGCTGAATAAACGACAAAAAGATTGAACCGCCCATCGTACCTAACACCAACAACAACAATTCCGCCTAAAAAAATCAAGCAGCATAAACAAAAACATGGACTTACGAGGATAACACCAAAAAGAGAAACAAGAATGCACCGCTTTCATTGAAATCAACAGGCAACATGAAAATTGTAGGAACTGCTACCACATGGAAAATGAAAGGCACAATGGAAAGGAAAACAACCATAAGAACATAAGTTAAAAGTTTAGCTAAGATAAAGAAATATTTTGACAGTATATTCTTTAGTGTGATGATCCCAAATGCATTGGAGAAACTTCGTTGTTTAAAACAAAAACTGTTAGAGCTCATGACCAAAATTCTATTTGTAACTCCTTGTACTATTTTGACTATGGTCCCATGATTTCTTCTCTAGGATTTCCACCTAAAATCTGTGAATTCATTCTGTTTCTTTTCTTTGATTTGCAATTTCTTGCCATTATCTTGTCCTTATAGCAATTACTCAGCTATCGAAGAGGATATAGAAAATGAAACGACTATTCAAATATTCAGAAACTGCTAGACACATAATTCGCACAATAAGCATAGGCAAACGAAAAAAACAATTAATTACAAGAGAGAGAGAGATTTAGCAAAAATTATCAAAAATAACTCAAGACACACATGGCTAGACTCATAATTCGCTAAAAGAATCTTCTTTTAACTCCAAATATTCGTAAACAAACCTAAACCCATTTTAGGTAAAGTGGAAATGAAGCAAAAAATAGCATCTTACCGAGTACAAAAAAGGCGGAGAATCGCATATAGTTCTTCAAGAAATTAGTGAAGTTATAGTAATAAAGGAGGACGAGAACAAAGGTAACAACGGCAATGAGGATGACGAATACCAAGGCATTGAGCAAGGCTCCCTCCAGCTTCTGAGCAGCAGAATCAGAGGGGTTTTCGAGGTAAACGAGATTCGCGGCTGTACGGATGGGAGCGGAAGAGGAAGAAGAGAAAGGGTTGGAATCGGAGAGTGAGTAAACGAGGAGGACGACTAAGAGCATGCATAGGGAGACCGGGGACATCACGCCGATGATTTCTTGGCCGATTGATTCTAATATGCTCGACTCCATCGCAGATTTTGACTGCGGAGAGCTGCCCAACGCCGAGTTGGAATTTGATTTCCCTTTTATGTTCTGTTTTTTTGCGTTTTAACCCCTAATCGGGAAAAAATATTTATTTAATTCGAATACTAAACTTTAGCTGTTCATATAATTCAACTTTTAATTACTTCAATTATAGTATAAAACTTTAATTTTAACTTTAATTATAATATTAAATTACTAAATTTTAATAGTAGGATGACATAAACATATATTTTCATCATTTTGATGATGCAGTTAAAACGAAATCGTTTTAAAATTAAAACTGAAATCAGATTCGATTTAACATAATCCGAATCGGACTTTTTTAAAACTTAAATTGCATTGGTGTTAATTACGATAGTCGTAATTAGTCGAAGTAAAACTAAATTCCGAAGATAGGTTTTGAATCGTTGGTTTACCAGAGAGAAAAGTAAGTTATAACTGTTGGACCTTATAGACTGTAACCGACATATATCTGGGATAAAAAATCCTCTTCGATGATCAAATAAAATTAAGAAAAAAACAAAGTCTAGGTTACTTTTATTAAATTGATTTCTTACTCAAGGTTATTTTCGATATTTTCCTCAAGCTTGATTTTATTATTTACTTTTTACTTGGCTTTCTAAAATTAAAATTCCTCAATTTCTTTGGTATTGTTTATCACAGTCAATAGTCAAAACTACTTGAAATCAGAAACTCCTTAATCTATGTAGACTGATAATTTTTCTCTCTATTACGTTATTAATTTATTTATTTTGAGATTAAAATTATTTTATTTGATAATATACGATGCTTATCAAATTGATATCGTCGTCGGAGACTTTGACAAAATTACTAATTAAAGTTTATTTATGATATATGACCAAGAAAAATCCAAGAAAACAAGTAGATTTTGACCCGAAGATCAAATCACGTGCTCGTAAAATCCACACACAAATGTTGACAGAAAAGAAGACAACACCAAGAACGACACACAGACCCAGTATCTGATGCCACTCTACACGCCTATACACGGGTGAACAAACAATCCGCCAATTGACTGCGACACCTGCCAATTGTAATTTATTTATAAAGGTAAAGGCTAAAATAAAAAGGGACTGCATAAAAATCATATGATAGTATATAGTAGTATTTATTGAAATTTATTTTATTTTAAGAGAAAATAACTTGATGAATCTGCCCACAATTTGAAACGAAATTCAATTTACTTTTAAGGGGGGGAAAAGAAATTAATGCCAAATTTGGTGATGATGTCCCATCGATCCAGGCCAGAAACCGTGATAAGTTGTCCAAGTACCAAAAATATGATAGGTAAAACTATCTGGATCATCAAATTCACTTATTTAAGGAGATTTAACATGTATTGTAATTTTAATTATGTTATTCATTTTTATTCTTTTATCTTCTTTTAGGTCATGAGTTTTAGATCTACTATAAACACTCTCATTTTTTTTAGAATACTCATTTTTTCTTGTAAGTAAAATTAGGATTAGATTTAGAATTTATATATATAAAATTTACTTTGACTTCCATTTATGCTACATGTAAATGCAATATGCTTTTAATCACGCTCAAATGCCATTTCAATCTTATTGAAAATATCAGAATCATTATTTATCATAGATAAATTCATACCCTTCATTGAACTCTTCATGATATCAAAATTTAGCATATTCAACATTTTGAATGCAAATTATGCAAATCTTTGACTAGTTTTTGTCTTTTTTTTCCTTCTTAAATATGCTTCTAAATTGTCGTTGATCATACCATAATACATGGTTAGCCTTGTAGACTAGTGTTCTTCCCCAAATCACCCTATATGCAAATATGTGGTATAATATGTAACTCACACTATACTTTGAATACAATGACTTATCATCTTATGCAAGTTAAGTAGCAATTCTCAGTCAGATACTATCTTGTAATTATTCTAGACTATTAAAAAAAGTATTAATTTTCACATTAATCACCATATAGTTAGATACTCATTTAGTCTGTTATTTTATCACTAATCATGTAAATTGATATCAAAGACCTTCATAAACAAAATGGACACTAAATTAGGTAGACGAGCAAATATGGAACTCAATGAGTTAACATGGGCACTTAAAGTACAATAAGAGGCATACTAGGTGCAAGCATGAGTGTGATGGCCCCAAAGGATTAAATAAAAAAATGTAGTTGTAGTTTTTTTTAAATGACATTATTTTGGATAATTAAAATTTTTTATTACCCAAAATCAACCAGTACAACATTAAGATACAAAGAAACGGAGCGAAATAAGCAGTGATCATCCAACACAAAAACAAAGATCACCCTATATTCCAATTCCTAGAAAGAGTAATATTAACATTGTCATTACAATTGAATTTCCTATTGCTTAAGTGCAGTCCAATTATATCTCTGATTGTATGGAATAATTCTTGAGTATTCTTGGATCTACTTTGGAACATTCGCTTGTTTCTTTCATCCCATAGTAAGTAAATAGTAGCATTAAAAGATAACTTCATAATAAGAGTGAGCATTGATTTGCCTTTCCAAGCATTGGAAGCCCTTGCACAAAAAGCGTCCCACGGGCAAGGGAAGAAGTGAAGTCCCGAGAGAGAAAAAACATTTTTCCAGATTGAATTAGTCATAGGACAGAGCAGAAAAATATGGTCCCTAGTTTCCAAAGGCTCATCACAGAAAATACATTTGCAGTCAGTGATTAGTCCCATACGGTTTAGTCTTTCTCTTGTAGGAAGCCTATCAAGCAAAGCCATCCAAGTGATTAAACTATGCTTAGGAATGTGCATAGGAAACCAGATAATTTTCTGCCAAGGAACAATAGCTTTCTTGACTCTAATGGCATCCCAAACTGCTGTAATTGTTGTATTTCCAGCGTCCAGAACAGGACGAGCTTCCTGTCTTAATTTTAGGAGTTTCCTTAAGCCCCAACTTTGCGATGAACGGATGTCAACATTCCAAAAGTCTTTGTCCTTAAATGACTTTGGATTAATCGTGATATCTAATACTATAAATCTAACCTTAATCAAGGACTATGTGTATTTTAATATCTAATGTTGTTGTGAATCTTAATGTTGAAGCAAAATTACTTTGGCGAGTAACAAAATAGCTTTGCTTGGCCCAAACTTCTTTTAGAAAGTCTACGCCTCTAATCGAAAGATCTCTTCTATTCTCGCACTCATAAATTCTAGGAGTGAGAGATCATCTCAAAATCACGAACACATGAAAACTTGAAAAATTCTCTAAGAATACAAAACCGTGCTATGATCCCTTTGGTTCGAGTCATCACCAAATTAACAAATCGCGGTTGCTATATTGAGCTTCTTTGGGTTCCTCGCGAAGAGAACATGGTTGTGGACGGAATGACCAAGCTTAATTAACCCCGAGACTACCAAACGATTATCTTTTCCAACGCTCCGGACCCTATCCGACCGGCAGCTGATAGGGACATCTACGGTCCCCCTTATGTTAAGAACTTCAAGATCTAGTTAGGCTTCTTCCTCCTTTGTAATTCAATATATATATATATATAAGATTTATGGCAATTTCTTTTCTTTCTTTCTTTTTAAAGAGAAAGAGACTGGATGCAATGAGCAATGCCGCCACCCGATGGAACACATTCGGGTGCCATATAGCCCATAGTCCCGGCTAAATGGGTTGTTTATGACCCTTTTGCATGGTCGACTAGCCTGCCAGCCCGAAATCCCCATGTTTAGCATTGAAACTAGAATCCAACATAATGTTACTTGATTTGTTATCTCTGTCTAGTATGCAATGGTCACCTTCTTCATGAAGACATAACAGAGCAGATGCAAGGCCCTACATAATTTTTAGGGATAGTAATTTTCTCCAAATCCAACGGGTCTTGATCTGTGTAAAGGTAGATTTATGAAAATTTGTAAAGATTCTTTCGTTATGATGAAATGATAAAAAATGTTAAATCTATATTATACATGGTTTAATATATAATTTCGGGAGATTCACCCACCAAAATTAGGTGTGCGACCCGGATCGGTCCGAATTAGTAAGGCGAAACATTGGGAACCGAAAGGGCAACAATATTTTTAAAACAACAAAAGTTATAATTTATTATTGAAGGGAGACAAAACACAATAACAAGTGTTTGCTCAAAAGTACAGAACCGTATTTAATTGGAACCAACAAAAAAACACATAAGTACACCTAAAATCCATACACAAAGCAAAACTATAGAAAGCACTGAGACCAACCCGACATAAATGGATACAAAAAAACCTCTTTGCTATGAATTTAATTAGCTTAACAAAAGAATACAGTATGCACAACTCATTCCGTCCTTACCTTTCTATTTAATGAGTTGATCGTCAATTTGAATGAGAGGGATGTGGGAAATGTTGGGCCAATCTCTGCCTTTCTCTTTTTGGCAATGTTCCTTCAGCAACGGACAATCTCTAATGGTCAAATGATAAAGACAGGGAAGGAACGTCTTTGCCGGTATGGACTGAAGCTTCGGACAGTTGAAGATGAGCAACTGAGAAAGAGAGGGAAGGAATGTCTTTACTGGTATGGACTGAAGCTTCGGACAGTTGTAGATATTCAACTCAGAAAGAGAGGTGAGGTGTTGAAGGCCCTTGCACTCCAAACTGTCCAGATTTAGAAGATCAAGGATGCCAAGAGCTGTAAGAAAGAGGGTAACAAAAATTCACCCGGAAAAGATTCCATCTCCAATTCTGCAACCGAGAAACGGAAAGATGTAAGTGAAGGTAGTGTTTGCAAACTCCATTACCTTTTCCTACTAATCATGCTCCCAACTAGTTCACCACTCCCTGAGATAACAATACTATTCCTGCACTCAACCAATGTTAAGGTCTGCAAGTTATACAATGTACTCATTGAGTTTGGCAACCTTTTAATTGATGTTCTTGATAGATTCAAATTTCTTAAATGTATCAAATTACCAACTTCTTCCGGTAATTCATTGATATTGTCATACCCAGCCAAAGAAAGAATCCGTAAGCTTGACTTCACCAACAAATCATCCATTAGATCATTGGTAACATATGAAGACCA